TGTACATGAAGTCGTGGTGCATTATGTCCTGGTACATTACGTCCTGAGACATTACATCCTAGTACATTATGCCCTGGTACATTGCGTCCTGATATATGACGTTCTTTAAAAAAATTACCATTACTTCTCCAGCTGAATTCTCCCAAATCCAATTCTAATAAATAAATATAAAAAAATCAAACTTAAATAAAAAAGAAGGGGAACAAATGTGTGGGCTTTCTTATGTTGTTGACCACCGTGCAACTAGTTGGCATCTGTTTGATTGGAATTCCAATCCTGAACTTACAAAATGAGGCTGCCCAGTGCCACGGGTAATACAGGAGTAATGACATAGGGCGCCCGTTATCTCCCCTGAGGTGCCGTGGTTTCAAAATGTATCTGTGTATGCGTTGTTTTTCTAATGGGGTAGACCAACAACTGAGATAGTCTGGACTGTACATTTAGTTTGGGATATCTCCCTTATTTGGTATTTAGTGTGGTTAATTCCTATGATTTCCGGCGTGCGTTGAGCCAGTGTAAGTAGCCCATTGGGAAATTTCTCCCTCTCCTTTATCTGACTGTCTGTTGATTGCCTGCCATGGTAGACGAGGCTCTAGGGGGGAATTCTCCTGTTTATCTTGAGTCCATATATACATGTTTCACTCTTGGCGTTGGACGACGTCTGTTGTCAATAGAAATATCATGGAATGAGGTCACATTCGCTTTATCTCAAGTCCATGCATCTCCTTTCATGTCTGTGGTTAAACAAAGTCAACAATCTTAAGCTCATCTCCTTTCATGTCTGTGGTTAAACAAAGTCAACAATCTTAAGCTCATCTCCTTTCATGTCTATGGTTAAACAAAGTCAACAATCTTAAGCTCATCTCCTTTCATGTCTGTGGTTAAACAAAGTCAACAATCTTAAGCTCATCTCCTTTCATGTCTATGGTTAAACAAAGTCAACCATGTTAAGCTCATCTCCTTTCATGTCTGTGGTTAAACAAAGTCAACAATCTTAAGCTCATCTCCTTTCATGTCTGTGGTTAAACAAAGTCAACAATCTTAAACTCATCTCATTTCATGTCTGTGGTTAAACAAAGTCAACAATCTTAAGCTCATCTCCTTTCATGTCTGTGGTTAAACAAAGTCAAACATGTTAAGCTCATCTCCTTTCATGTATGTGGTTAAACAAAGTCAACAATCTTAAGCTCATCTCCTTTCATGTATATGGTTAAACAAAGTCAAACATGTTAAGCTCATCTCCTTTCATGTCTGTGGTTAAACAAAGTCAACAATCTTAAACTCATAGTATTACTTTTATTATAATAAAATGCCAAATTATAAAAAAAATATTTTTAGTGGAATAAGGTATTGATAAGGAATGGTAAATATGGAGACACTTCTAGACTGTGGAGCTTATGGAATGATTTGGTCATGTCTCGAACCAAATAATTTGACCTCTTTTGTTTGTTGTCGTTTTTGTTGCTTAAGTGTATTTAAACAGCCAGTTCTACCAACCGAGGTCTAGCAACCCGACCACAAAACTAATGACAAGTAAAAGAGACTATCAACAAATTGTTTGCAGAATCGGCACTCTCTGAATCGGCCTCTGCTTTACACATCTTTGATAGAGACCTCGGTACGCCCTGTTTCTACCCACTTAATACGAAAGTACGGTAACGCTGACAGACCCAATGTTTCAGCATGCTCTTTTCCCACCGAACATATCTCGGAATTCCTTGATTTGTACTAGCAGCAATGTTGTCTACGCATTTCTTTGCACCCGCTGCCAGATGGCGTATCTAGGTGAGACTGGGCGCCGCATCTCTGACAGATATACTGAACATCTCATCTCTGTAACATTGCGCAAGTTAAGCAGTGTCCCATCTCAAAACACTTCAGTAGAAGCGACCACAAGGTCTCTGGGAAAATTTGCTATCACCGCATTGTGTCTTGTAAAAACACACCCAAACGGGCTGAACTTGGAAAACAAACTGATTCAGACTTATGGAACCTTTACACCATATACAACAAAAGCCATCATGTTATATTGAAGTGTGCAGCCCACCAGTCCTCTCTTTCAACAAAGATATCATCTTACAGTGAGGCCTCAATGGCTTAAGATTCACGTTCAATAGGGTTGACCGAGTAACATATTTAGCTTGTCATTTTGTCCCTGCATTTTTCTGTCCAATCTAAGGGCTTTTGTTAGCTACACTTCAAAGAATTTATTAGATTTAATTGTCAACGTACTTGAATATTGTCAGCGCGTTGTTCATCTCCAAGATTGTGTTTGAAATCCTTTCGTTATGATGCAGGTATTACTAACAGCTTGATGTTTATGTGGTATGACGTAAATCTGGTTGTCTGCCTTGCCCTTTCCCGTCATCCGTATTGAGGATCTTATGAACTCTAATCAAAGATCGCAATCATGAAACCTAACCACAAGAAAATCCCATTCATTGTCGTTGTTGGGCTGCGCGTAAACCCTCACCCTCTTCTCCCCTCTCCCCTCTTCTCCCCTCCCCATCTAGAGAATTGATCTCATATATTTTATATCAGGTCTCCCCCCTCCCCCCTCTTCTCCCCTCCCCATCTAGAGAATTGATCTCATATATTTTATATCAGGTCTTCCCCCTCCCCCCTCTTCTCCCCTCCCCATCTAGAGAATTGATCTCATATATTTTATATCAGGATCGGAACATATCGAAAGTCTGGGGATGCTTGATGACATCACCACCTATGACGTTGTCATTGAGCTTAGTGACGATTAAGGTGATGCATTATAGAATATTTCAGTAAACCTCTTTAAAAATACACAGTACATGAAAGCCAGGAGGTCTTTTGGTCTTAGTTTAAGAACTATTGCTCTAAGATTTATTTGATGCAAAAAAAATAAATTTAAAAAAAAACAATTTAAAAAATCAACAAAAAACCAGCTACAATGAGATCTTCCAACACATAACTTAGTGATCTCTAAACGCTTGTTAGTGTCTTGTTTCCTCTTGTCTGCTGTAGACGGCGTTTAGCCGGGGCACTGTCTTTTCTTTTCAAACTTAAACATATATCTTGTCTCACTAATATTTATTTGTTTAAGGCAGCTTGTTTGTGACAAGTGGGGGAGGGGGGCTTGGTGAAATGTGTATGTTCCACTCTACCCACCACCACAACAGGCCCCCACCAAAACCCAATCCCAATAACTCGAGCGTAACGCAATAAACACCGGTGTTGACTAATCCAGCAGGTGTAAAATAGCCCCGTATTTCATATACTGTTACATTACAACGACACCTCTATGTCATAAACTTGTAAAATAGCCCCGTATTTCATATACTGTTACATTACAACGACACCTCTATGTCATAAACTTGTAAAATAGCCCCGTATTTCATATACTGTTACATTACAACGACACCTCTATGACATAAACTTGTAAAATAGCCCCGTATTTCATATACTGTTACATTACAACGACACCTCTATGACATAAACTTGTAAAATAGCCCCGTATTTCATATAATGTTACATTACAACGACACCTCTATGACATAAACTTGTAGATGTCCCTCTCACATGTAAACTGGCAGATGTCGGAGAGAGGTCCTGACCTTACAAGTACGAACATTTGGCCTTTCGAATAGCATCATTCAGGTAGATAGAGTGAAGCCGCGAAAGTCGAACATCGAAGTGGCTGTTGCTGTCGCCCTTTTCAAGAAGACACCGAAATCTATTGCAAACATACATAAAGGAAAAAACTTGATAGACGGGATTGAATGTTATTTCTTCATTAATTTAAAACGCTTGCACTTTATTAATCCCCTTGCTGAATTTTTTATTAAACTAGAGAGAGTCGCTAAAGCTATTAGCTTCCACCTATTTCTGGCCAAATGTTTTTACTCTATTTGGTGTTTATGTGACAGCAAAAAAAAAAAAAAAGAGAGGTCTTTGGTTTGTTAAGTAAATGTAAGGCCTATAGAGGCATATAATGTATTAAAGCTATTAGCTTCCACCTATTTCTGGCCAAATGTTTTTACTCTATTTGGTGTTTATGTGACAGCAAAAAAAAAAAAAAAAGAGAGGTCTTTGGTTTGTTAAGTAAATGTAAGGCCTATAGAGGCATATAATGTAGTAGAATTAGTTGTTCAGTTGATTTATCAGTGGAAGTATAGTTTTGATTATTTCCAAAGTAGACTTAGCCAAGAACTACTTTCTGTTATATACTTGTTCTACCGTGCACTGTTAGAATTATTTATTTTTAAGATACTTGGTCTACCTTTACTTTTAGAATTACTTATTGTCCTTGGTCTTCCTTACTTAGTCTTCTTTACTTGGTTTTCCTTACTTTTTCTCCCTTGTACTGTTAGAATTACTTATTGTTAGTTACTTGGTCCTTCTTGTACCGATTGAGATTTCCTGATGGATTCGATATTGATGAGTCACTCATGTCCTTTTTCGTATGCACTAAATATTACTTAAATTACTAAACTGTAAGGTGGGGTCCGAAAATGTGTGGGCTGAAACAGGGGAGGATTTGACAGTGGACGTTTTACTAAGTAATGTAATGAGGCCCAAAGTATTTATTTTTGTTTCTTTGTACACAATGCAATTATCTGACATTTGCATTAGTCTCTAATACAGTTCGTTCACCTCTTTTTCTCTGTTGTTGGCCCAAACTAAATTATAAAAATGTATACTGTATTCACTAGGTTATTATTGATTTTTGTTTTCCATCTTCTCTTTCTAGATGTATCCAACTCATGGCCCGGTAGTTTCGAAGGTACGGGGACTATTCTTTGGAAACACGACATGTTAGAATCACTTAACTCAGTGCTACATCAGTCAGCTGTGATGGCATGGGCTTAACAGCTCCAGTGGACAGTCATATGGCGGACCAACACGACCCCTTACATGGTATCATTGATACCAGCAATGGCAGTGATAACATGGACACACGGCTCCTCATGGAGCTTCTTAGCAGTTTAAGCTCTAAGGATGATGGAGATGAAGAGTATAGGGCTGGATTAACTTACTATCTCATGGGAATCGGTGGAAGCATTGTTTGCTGCTTGGGAACCATTGCCAACGCCTTGTCGGTAGCGGTTCTCACTCGAAGAGCTATGAGGTCAAGCACTTACATGTACCTTGCTGCTCTTGCCGTGTGCGACTCATTGGTTCTGTTTTTCACTCTGCTGCTAATACTCAAAGACACGAAACCCCCTGAGCACCCGCAACAGTTGGATCAGTTCCACGCTGTTTTATTCCCCTACGTTCATCCTACGGCCATCGTGTTTCAGGTGACTTCCATCTGGCTGACCCTGGCCTTCACGGTTGACCGCTACATCATGATCTGTCATCCGTTCAAGGCGGAGCACATGTGTAGGAGAAGCCGCGCACGGAAGGTTGTGATCGCTCTGTACGTGGCTGGACTAGTGTTCAACATTCCCAAGTACCTGGAGTACTACACCAAGACGGACAGTTTCAAGGTGGCCAATTCGAGCCAGGTCATCATGATCTACGGGATAGCCCAGACTGAGCTCAGCAACAGCGTTCTGTTCAGGGAACTGGTCCACTCGTGGCTGTATCTCATCTGCGTGTGCGGGATCCCGTTTCTGACCTTGGTCATTCTCAACGCATTTCTCATTCGGGCCGTCCACCTGTCGAGGTTAAAAGGTAAGGAGATCAACGCTCGAGAGAAACACCGCAACGACACCACTATCATGTTGATCGGTGTGATTATCATATTTCTCATCTGTCAGGGGCCGGCGCTTGTGTCAAGACTAATCTACGCCTTCAGGCCTGGGACCGTTAATTTGAGACCCATCTTTACTTTGAATGAAGTAAGCAGTTTTTTGGTGATTCTCAATTCGGCTATCAACATTGTGCCATATTATCTGTTTGGGAGGAAATTTCGAAGTGAGTTTTGGAGACTTTTCTGCACCTGTTTCTTCGATAAGGACGAACTTCGGCGGATAGTGCGTAGCTACAGTGTTTCTATGGACCACCGGCGCATGAGTCAATACAACGTCATGGAGATGAACGGGGTGAGTGCCAACGGCCAGCAAATTATGCCGGCAACTAATGAGGAAAAGGGGCGTCTTGATGATGACGCCCAATGCTGCGAAGACACCGTCTACCAAAACCAGAGGCAGAAGAGCAATGGCGGTGCCAATGTTGTCCGCCACAGTGAGACGACCGACAGTGTGGCCATGCCTCTCATCCACAGCACCATCTCACTGTGTTCTAATGGGCTCGTCAATAAAGACGTCAGCAAAGACTCACTCAAAGAAAATGGTCTTCACCTCTCTCCATCCCAACCCCTCTCCCCGCAGAGCTCGCGACCCAACGGTCACGTGCAGTATATGACCATCACAGCCAGCCCGTGTGTTAACGAACCTGTGTGGTCAGTGGTTTGACCATTCACAACACCAGACTTAGGACAATTCATTTGTTAACGGCTATGTTGCTTCTTGACCACAGTCCCACGGGCCACAGCTTGCCCTACGGCAGTCTTGAACCCCTGCACCTTACTACTTATACTGATTTCCTTCAACAGTCCGTTGGCAGCATGTGATATTTGTACATACACAAGTAACAGGTCTCAAATTGTTTTGATTGGTCAGCTGACTAGTGACGATCTGGGTGTTTTTCCTTGACTTCCCAATGGTGTACATATTTTCATGTTATTTTCTGATCTTGCTGGTTACACAATGTGTGATATATTCAACGAGATTGTTTTAATTGCTGTAGTTAAAGATATTTCCTGTAGTGATAACACATGTTGACCTGCTAACATTTCCAAATACAAATACTTGTTCTAATGCAGGGATGATAGCATTTAACCTTATTTAATGCTGTTTCAGGTTAAGGTCACAATTTAACTTTTAAGAGAGAAATCACCATTGAATAGCTGCTTATATATATATATAATTGGTTTCCCAAAAGTGTTCCTTTATGAAAGAAACGTCCAAAAAAACAACAACATATAAATATATATTTTTTTTTTAAACTATTGAGGCAATTGTTAGTTTCTTTTAATGTAAAGTTTTAACATGACATTTTCGAGCTTGTAACAAAAAAGAATAGAATTAAATGACCATAAAAGTTATTTATATACATACAACAACTTAAATGGGTGCATATTTTTCACCGGGTCCGACTATTTTCAGAAAATACACAGTGGGTCCAAGTGTTACCAAAATATAAATATATTTACCTTCTCTTTTTCTATAACATATGCTAGCCTACACCCTACCTGCCGGCCTTTAAACATTAGTCACACATAGTCATACACCATACCTGTGGCTCTTGATTGATTCATATAATAGTCGCGTCTCGGTTATGCGTGATGACTTATTTCTTCACTCAATACTTTTGATATAAAACGTGGAGTTTGAAAAGAAGAAGCTGGACACACCAGCGTCCAATGATGTATTAGAAATAAATGAAAGGTATTGAATGAAGTGGGTAATTTCAGTGTTAGAAATAAAAAAACAAATTCAGCATTGAAATGCTGTTTGTGGTTAAACAATAAGGGACTTTTGAGTTTTGTGAGGGGGGGGGGGGGGGGGGAGATTTCAGAAACGAAAGGTCGAATTATCGGATGTTGCTACTCAAAATGTTTTCCGACATAAGCAACAGTCTCCCGATGATGGCAACCGTGTCCTAGTGCTAGATTGCTGTCTCCCGATGTTTGAGGGCGTCTCCCGATTTTAACACTTGTCTTCTGTTCTAAGGAGATGATTTCCGGAAATGGGTGGGGATTTCCGCCTGAAACCATTGATGACCGAATAATTAATTTAGATATCTATCTAGATACCATAGATTTTTACTTATTACATAATTTTAAGAGGAACTGCCTGGATTTATTGGAGACTATCGGGAATAAGCTGAACATTAATCATATAATAGAGGCGTACTTCAATGATGTCAACTACTCATTTTGTCTTGGATCCTACAGATGTATTAAGTTGAATTAATGTCTGACTTTTCTAAGAGTGGAAAGAAAAGTTTGTATATATTATATATTAGCAGCTGGGTGTTATTTTACTTCTTAAACTCTGTGCTATTTTTTAAATAGAAAATTATCTAGAAAATTAAAGTTTAGCAATAAATGTCATTGAACAGCATAAATGTATGCATTGTCATTGAACAGCATACATGTATGCATTGTCATTGAACAGCATAAATGTATGCATTGTCATTGAAATTGAACAGCACAAATGTATGCATTGTCATTGAACAGCATAAATGTATGCATTGTCATTGAACAACAAATAACAAGTACATTTCAAATAATGGGTTGTTTTTTTTTAAAATCTTTTTATTTTCAGTTTTATTTGATAGCACAAAATGAAGTAACTGATAGACCAACAAGGTCATGCAATTATGAAGTTTGTTGCGTAGTGGAATTTAAGCTTAAATAAGAGACTCTAACAACTTGCAGGTTATTGGTTACTACTTATGATGTGTATTGAACAACGTCATTTATTGCTTATTGACCTCGCTAGTAAAGAACTATCGATTCGTCTTCTATCGTTAAACGTCATATAACTTGAGTGCACTCAAGAGGCAGGGTATATCAATACTGAGCGACCTATAAAACTCAAGTCTAAGTGAAGGGTGCCTTTGAGACTGCACATGCCGAAAGTCCAGAAAGATCAACTGAAGCGTGTCAAAAGCCATATTTGGCTAAAAAGATGATTGTGTCTTGACATAGTGCAAAATAAGCGTAAATAAACTCATTGAAAAAACTCCATTAGATCAGTGTTCCCTTGGTTGGCCCCGTGCTTGTCAAACACTCCCTGGGTTTATTCACTAACATGGCACACGAGACAACACACACACAGGCACACGAGACAACACACACACAGGCACACGAGACAACACACACACAGGCACACGAGGCAACACACACACAGGCACACGAGGCAACACACACAGAGGCACACGAGACAACACACACACAGGCACACGAGGCAACACACACACAGGCACACGAGGCAACGCACGCACACAAACTTTGGCGTTTAATTAAAGTTCGCGGGCGATTGATTCAATATTAGCCAATCATCAATTGATCTTCGTGCACGCGTGCTGCCGCGAGCACAATCTTGTCCTGCAGATTTTGTAATGGTGCTTTGGCAAAGTGTCTAACTCAGTGATCCTCACATTTTTGCCCGAAATAAATATTGGAAGCTGTAACTCTGACTCGCTTTTTTTTCAATTAGTGGTTCTAAAATTTATATATAATATGAATTTCTTAAAATTGGTTTCCTGCCTCGAGTCATGTAATTGTTTTCTATGTCAGTTTATTTCTGGGAGGCAACATTGGTGAATGTTTGCAACTACAGAGAAGGCTGTACCCACGATCTTGACCTTTAGGACCTTTTATTTAAACACATAAATGACACATTTACCCTCTATGTAGAGTTTGACGAACGTTGATTTAAATACTATAAGGAACATACTTTCCAGCGTTCTAGGGTTTGAGGACCGCCGATTTAACTAGTTGGAGATGTTAAATAACTGTCAGGCTGCTTGTTTTTTCTTCATTTGTATTTTCCCATTTTTTTAATTTTTTTTGTCGATTGTGGTTGCCGCTAATGGAAAATTACAAGAAACCTGCTATTTGCTGTAATGTAAAGAATCGATCGATGAGCTGAGATAACATGATTTCTCTAAATATCTCAACTCTTATTTACTGGTTCCAATTTGTTTGTTTGCTTTTTCTTTTCTAAGTATTGTCCTACTGTTTTTGTTTTGCAAGTTATGTTAGACTAAAAGTATTCTGCATCCTTAATTTCTCTATGGATAAATTAAAATATGTTTACATTAAAACATTTAGATTGGATTAACGCATTTGTAACTTGGGTTATGGTAGACATCAACAACGGAATATTTGTGTTGTTAAGTTCCTAATAAAACACGCCGAGTTGTGTCCATTTTGTCTTCAGTGCTACACATTTTGAACCAAACAGTCACGAAGCTCGGGTGTTCGATTTCAGGTGGAGTAGAAATGTGTCCAGCAAGAGATTTGGCTTTAATGATGCAGCTTTGATTAGTGGCATATTCCACAGTGGCCACAGTTACATCTGATGTTAATGGTGCAGTCTTGTCACGGCCCTATTGATTTGGCGCAAGTCTTAATAGAACATTAAAAATGGCTGGTGCAATTAGATTTCTTAGCGTATTCAGAAAGTTTATTTTAATGAACAAAGATCAGCATTGTATTTGTTCAAGGACACGTTGACATTTTCCATTTTTGTCTGAATCTAGCCCTGGACTTGAATGGTTATATATTGTTTTCCTAAACAAAAGTTGCTCTCATGAATTCGGAATCCCACTTTGGCACAGCTTGATATTTGATGGAGAGTCATCAGAAATAAGATGCCGTGCTTTGGGTTGTGACATGACGTCTGCAGAGGATTTAGCTTCTCAAAATTTCAGTTGTTCTCACACGCCTTGTGTTAAATTATTATTTATTTTTTTATTTGTGTACAGCTTGGCCCCTTGGTATAGCCACTACTTCCGTGTGAGTTGCGCAGCTTAAAACAATAGGCTATTGTGTAGCCTCGTTGATGTAGGCAGCAGGTGGTCTAATTGGATGTAGCCAGATTGCTGGGGGGGGGGGGCGTAGTAGAGCGCAAATCTATATGAAACAGTTGAAAGATCCCTTTCTCAAGGCTGGCATAGGCGCTATGATCCATGAGTTACGTGTGCACTGGGTAATGAGATCAACCCATAGGATAGAGAGCTGATGGCGTTACTGTTTTCCTGCATGCGTCGTGCACAAATTCGTTGCTCCCTTTTGATAATCGCTCATTTCTATAAACTGTCCTTGTTTTTCTTTGCAATGACGGCACGTTTTCATGATGCACATTTAGACGAAATACTGTTGAATGGCTTGTTTTCGCCTTATTTAATTTTTAACCCGAGACAACTATCTTGACTTTTATCCTTCAGTATGATTTTATCAAAAGTGGTTTGTGATATAACTCTTCTTACTTCATTCGTATACGTTTAAAGTAATTTATTTGGTAACACG